ATTCTATTTTGCTAGCTATTCTCATCACTAAATTTGTCTTCTCCTTTGAACTTGTTTCATGCTTTGTGAAAGTATTTTTTTAACCAAAAGTTAAAATGTTTAATGCAACATAATTTATTTCTAAGTATTTCATTTTACACAAATTAAAGTCGAATTAGTTATAAGGTTCACTACTGCAATTCACCATCAAGTATTAAACCAACAAATAAATCCACATATGGTTGAGCCAGAGCTGTATTTTCAACTATATCAGCACCTGCTTAAAGCAGCCTCAAAGGGAAGCACAACACAAACTAATAAAATGTCCTACAATTTGAAAAAAAACTGAATTTGATGAATTATCAAGACATATGCTGCTCCAATCTTGTATTTCCAGTGCTAGACCTCCACATTAGTGTATTTAAAGTCCTTAAAAAATCCTTACAATCAAGTGAATTAACATGTCAGTGAAAACAATGAATATGTATGCAATGAAGCCAAAAGTGCTATTAAATATATTTAACATATAATAACATTTTAATGTTCTCATTTCCTAGAGATGAATTGAGAGGTAATGATGACTGTAGTCTCTCATCTGTATCAAGATATTACCAGTTCTCAGTTAAGCAAATCCAGTTCAACTCAGACCTTCAAGAATGTTTGTGTCAAAGTTTTGCTGACATCTACATGTAGGTTATGAAACAATTTACCTTACATTTTATCTGTAGTCTAATACCAAGCACATTAAAAAAAAAAAAGGCAAAAAAAAAAGCATGAAAAAAGAAAGCTTCCCACTGATTTCACCTGGGGTTTAATCAAACACAGTGCCTACTCAACATGACTGAAGTACTGTCCACAATTATAAGACCATAAAAATTCAAAGTAGCAAGGTAGTTTCTTTCCCTGTATGAAGGCTGGTGAACACAACTACATAAAAGGCTTTGGGGCTTTGCCCATGAAGTTATTCTTTTGAAAGATTTTTTTTTCTTTTGTCTTTTTTTAAATAACCAGATTTGGTATCCTGTATCAAAGAACGCTTTGTATCTCAATCTTAAAGGGCATAAAGCTTGATCATATTAGTCTGTCAGTAAGTTATATAGCCAAATATCAACCACTAACTTGTCCCTCTCCTCCATACTTTCAGAAGAAGACTGCACTGTATGTGGAGGATCTCACAAAATTAGGATTTAACTATCTGAAATCAAAGGCACCAGAGCACAGGTATCTACTCTGCTGCTTTGAAATTTTGGAAGAAGTATTTCACCTTCAGGTTTCCAGCTACTGATGCCTATTACTTCCCACTTTTCTGCCATGGCAATGTGTATACTTAGCATACAGAAAAAATTGCTAAATTTTCACAGGGAAATGATCCATTTTGATAAATGAAAAATTTGTGGGTATAAATGTGAAACATTTTTAGGATCAAAAATAGTACCGCTTTTTTTAGTTCATTGGAAGTCTGATTTCTAGCAAAAAAAGCATCTTAAAATCTATTTAGAAGTCAAAACTGATGCCAGATAAAATAATCTAGAAATATTGTTTGCCCTGTGATTTTAAGTTCATACTTGTCTTCCAGATTTTTGGAAAAATATACAAATAGCCCAAAACACGTAATACAGCATTTGAATATCAAGCTTCATCTGAGAGTCTGAAATCAGAAGAAATGGACCAGTAACCCTAACAGTGAAATTAAGATGCTAAAACTCACTGGTTGAATGTCTTTACATATTATTACATCTAAATCAGCAACAGTCCAGAAATAATGGAATTTAAAAACACCTATACAAATTCAGCACAGCTTTTATGTGTATATAAATTACAATACTGTCTTCAACTCCTTTATTATACCTTCTCCAGTATTCAGTGAACATAATTACAGTTCTGACTGTTTGGCTGGCTCATCAATACAACTTTTCACACTTACCTTACAAAAGGTGTCATACTAGACACATAGAACATGTAAATTGGCTTATATTTGTGTCCCACCCATAAAGGCCTTGGGGCAAGCAGGATTATTCCCCTATCATATATATATATATAAAATTTAAGCCCCAAATACTCCTGTGCTTGCGGTGTCCAATTTTTTTCAAGAATGCATGGTATCTGGTAAGGATTTTGCCATGCTTAGAGGGAGGTGCCCATGGATTTGAGCAGCACTGAAGAATATTAATCATTTATACAAACAAAACCAGGTTTCTGAAGCTGGTTGCCCAAAAAATCAGAAATATATTACTACTGAAACCATTGTTCTACGGTCAGCTGACTAGTCTACAATTAAGTAGAAATTTTGGCAGAAGTCGGTTCTCCAGAGTGACATTTCATTTCACAATAAGCCATCCTTTTCTCCTTCCATAACCTTCTACCTTTTTCATTATGCTTTCCAAAGCAGTATTTAAGTGCTTCACAATACAGCTTTGACTCCTCACCCCTACGAAATGATCCATCCTTCACACTACATGAGAATACATCTGAAAAACTAGCATACAATCAAGTTAAAATATATTTTAAAAAAAAAAGAAGGAAAAAAAAAGAAAAAAGAAAAAAAAAAGACTACTTCTATCAGGGACAACACTAATCTGCATTTTTAAGCTTCTAAATGAACTTCCGTTCTGGGCTGGTTTGGTTTTTTTTTGTTTTTCGTTTTTTTCCTGAAGAAGGAATCTGCAAAGAATACAGCTGTCCTACTCTAATAAGCCTCCGCTGATTGGACAGAATTTCATGTTTCTCCCTTCCCTGCTATAGGCTCGTCTCTTGCTAAAAGTTTCACAGCAACAACATAAATTTAACACCCAGGTGATATATCTTCCAATTTTTATGCCTTGCTCCAAAAGGACAAGACACTAAACACTCTTCCCAAATATCATAGGCAAAGCAATTAATTTCCTCCTAAATTCGTTCTGAAAACTGACAAAATGAAACTGATCAAAATACTTATTAAAAATCCCAAATTCTTAAAGAACAAACTAAAACAACTTCTCCACAAATCAAAAACAGACATCTAATAGAGAAAAGGTCTAAAAACATTAAATAAAGTAATTACAGAAGGCATATGCAATCTTGACTAAATACCGATATTTGTATTCAAGCTTAATTATCTTTGTAACTTATTTTTTCATTTTAGTAACACATTCTGCAGGTTATTCCTTCCTTACCCTGTCCTACATCCAAACTTTATCTTCCTCCTTGTCACTCGTTGTATGTAAACACTATTACACGTTCACAGCTTCCATTTCACTGAAGTAGTAAACATCAGAAATACTTCTGTTATGCACAAAAATGGAGCTAACTCCAGCCTTAAGGCTTTATTGAAACCTAAGGATCTTTGTTCCGTTAAGCCTGCCAGAAAAACATATGCAGCAAGTTAACACGAACCATTTCATGCCCAAGTTCTATTTATAAAGCAATTCTTCTACCCTAGCTACTCAGTGTAATATATGTTTTGTCATCATAGATACAAGTACTGCTTTCTTTCAAACAATGACATGAAAAACAAGAGATGGCATCTTTCTCTACCACACAGTACAGATGACCAAGTTTTATAATGCAAAAACTGCCAAGTTAGGAAGAGAACTTAATGTACATTAGATACAACTATGTACGACTAAAATAACCAACCACAGAACATGCCTCTGAAGTTTACCGAGATTATTTTTTCAGGAAAAATAGAAAATAAGGTATTTTAAAACTGGAATTCACAAGATCATTGAGGTTAAAAAAAACCCAAAACCCAAACCAAAACACAACTCTTAATTTGTATTTCCACTCTATATGATATTTACCTTTGCCTGTTTGACAAAAGAACAAAAAAAAATCTTTTCCTCTGCTATAAATTCAAATAAAATTGGAACTATTTCATCATGCTTTGAAGAAGGCCTTTTATTAAATGTAGTGTTCCTAATCTTCAACCGTATAATACATCAGAAAAAAATACTCATCACAATTCTCTATGCAGCAACATTTATCATCTGGGGAAAAAAAGCACTTTTAGTTCAAATATCATCACATTATCTCAACAAGTCAGTTTCAGATTGCTGAATTTTCTGAAAAATTACTTTAGGGACACTTTTTGAGCAATAGCTCAAAATAAAACCAGTTTTGGAATCGTAAATTCTCTTGCCTCCCTCCCTCTTTCTATACTCAAAACCAAAGAAAAGCACTATATTTTTAAATTGAAACCAGTAAAACCAATGTTGGCTAATTGGACAACCAAGCTGAGATAAATTGACATTTGGAATACAGATTAAATGAAACAAACCCATTTTAGCTTCTATGTTACAACACAAATCTTGGAAGAATCAGAAGGCTACAGTCTTTATAATCTGCATAAGAACTAATCATTTTATCAAAAGTACTTCTGATATGCAATAAAGACGAATTTGTTATTTTTGGTTAAGTATTTAAAATTAGAATTACTTTTAAAGAAAACAAACTTACTCATTATAAAACAGTTTTACCAAAATGTAGTATTCTTCAGCTGGCTGTACTTTTTTAGCTCTTAGGAAAATATACTGTTAAAGTGTTACAAATTACATACTTATACAACAAATTTTATACTTCTAATACACTTTCATGCTTAAGTGTTTCACAACATTAGATGAAAAGCTACTGAATTCTCATGGTTTATCAGATTATCTCAGAAAACTAAAAGGAAAAGTAACTTCATGTGTAATCTTTTAAACGAATTAACACTAATATAGATACTGTACGTATGTCTCTTCATATTTTATATACTAGTCGGTATTCCCAGAAATCACAAAATTCTAAGCTTCACTTATTAAATTCAACAAGAATTTGAACAGTCTAACAGAGTAAGTTAAGCAGGTAATGGTTAGCTATATAGGTCAGAGATGTTCTCACTCTTCAAAAGCACTCCTCTGAGTGGAGAAACCAGAAAAATAGGGTCAACTTCTAGTAGAGAAACCATCACTGCATATACTGCATAATAAAAGTACTAAAGAGTAAACACCAGCTAAAAAGCATGATTTCCCCATTAATACGAAGTTTAGTTACCTTTACCATACCTTTATCTGCTGTCTTCTAAGCATCGCAAGTTCCCTCATATCTCGGAATGGCTGTAGTAAGTACTGGTAGAGCTCCATGGTAGCTTCTGCAAGGCTACTGTAGGCTTCATCTTCCATTTGATACAGTTCAAGCAGCTCTATCATGCTTTCCGTGTTCTTATGTTTTTCCAGAAGCTGCAGAAAAAGTGCCAATTTTAGTGAACAGATTCAAACATTCCTGCTAAAAGCAACAGTCATTCAAAAAGCATTTTTTAGCCTCTTGTATTATCTTCCCTCTCCCACAAAATAATCCCTCAAACAAACAAATAAACAAAAAATCTTAATCCCCACCCACATCTTGAATTTAGCCAGTCAAGTATGAGCATGTCTCTGATAACCTTAACTCAAAGTGTACAGCACTCCCATTGATTTTTTCTTTCAAAAAATCCTGGAAGGTAATGAATATGACCACAAAGACAGCACAAAAAGCAACTTAGTACAAGAAATCCATAACGTAGTAATCAGATATGCTACTTCACACATTTCTCACTTTCAGGTGTCAGGAAGGAATGATAGGAAAGGAGACAAAAGAAGTCACATTTTGATTTTGGGGGGTTTTTTTGGTGTTTGGGGTTTTTGTTTTTGCCTGTCTGTATTTTGGACTCACACAGTCCCATTATATCAGTGCAGCTCCAGATACAGAGAACAATCTATATGAATCAAAACAGTGATCTGCGTTTCTGATGATTTTGCCTTCTCGTTTGTGATTTTAGCTGAGACAGGTTAGGCATGAAATTTCAAACACATGAAGTTCCCATTAGATATTTTTTTAAAAGGATATTATTTAAGTATTATAAGCTTTAAAAGAATACTCAAAATAATTTATGTTTTAATTCATATAAGAGAACACAACATCAAAGTCCATCCATTCCTTCCTTTATTTCTCATGAAATCCATCTGTTTGTACAAATTTGCTACAATGTACGTTTTTAATTTATATGTCTCTTTTGCACCTATTTTGGGCATTTGCCTGGGCAGACCTCATAAACTGCTGGAAATCTTTTACCATTTCTAAAAAAATATTCAACTGTTTAACAAAAACTAATCTCATACAGACATACGGAGTGCTTGATGTATTTACAAAGACAAGATTATCTGAAATTAATTCCCCTCTTAGGTAGTTTTCAAAGTCAAAGTCTCTTGTCCTGTTATTATCATCTCAAAAACATATATTCACAGTTCAAGTTTATTTAAACTTAACATAAATTAAGAACACTATGGAACAAGCACATCGTATCTTCTAGCTGTTCATTCAGGTTGGATGCCAAGCCTACATGAAATATTCTCAGGATATTCAACTCCATCAAGTATTGTAACTAGAAGATAAAATAGAGGGAGCTGCAGATTAGAAATTGAAGCTTTGGTCAACAGTCCTTTGGTGTCTGCTTCATTTATATCCCAGGACAGTCAAGAGAATTCTTGATTACCATACTGTCTACTTGGTTCGCTCCATTACATTTATATTACTATGCTGTGTTTCAGTTACCTGGCTGGGTAAGAAAAAATTTCTCTTTCTTCATAACATAAAATTTGATTCTGAAGATCCCCATAACTCCACCTGGGCTTCCTTTGAAGCACTAAAGATTGGCCAAGATTAGAGAAAGGATGCAGCGCAGAACGCAGAGAGCCTCATAGTAGCTTTATTTACATGTTCAGCATTAAGATAATGGTCAGATGACAAGCTCGGAAGAGCTTTCCTTCAGCAAGGCTTAGCACAGATGAAAGGTCTGGGAGAGATGGTGTAGAACAGATGTGATGTTCCTCAGCAGCATGAAGCCATTTGTTACGTTACCTAAACAATTTCACCTAGGAAATTGTTCCTATTGCAAGGTCATTTGCTCTGTCCGTCTGCTCTTTTCCAGCAGCACGTAATATTTTGTGGCATTTGAGTTCTCACAGAGTACTGGGTAGTGGTTTGTGGCTTGCAGTCTGTAAAACTGACATTTTATGAACTTTCAGGGTTAAACACACATAATGTAACCCGCAATTATAGGGACAGAAGTCATCCCCGATGCTCTTGGGTTTGAGTCCTAAGTCCCTATGGATTTCAAGCATTATTCCAGCCCACTAGCTCTTTTAACCATGTAGCCTATAAAGCCACCTTCTTCCTCAGCTCCTCTTTCTTGTTGCTAGTGCCTAAAAACAGAGTTGCCATACTCAGGCCTTCTCCTACAACTTCCCCCTGGCACTATCAGAAAACCCTCTTGCAGTCCCAAAGCTGTAATAATCCCTCTGTTAAGGTACTGAAAAACCAAACCTTTCTTCTCAAGCCATCCATTACAAGCAGGGTCTCTATTATTAGCACCATTTCTACAGCACCTGTAATGTTAATTTCCTTGTAGTTGCTTAGGCTGTTAGTATCTTCTCATTAAATAAATTTACACCTTTGTTTCATTGTGAAACCCTACTATTCTACTAAGATACAAATCCTAGAGGGCAACAAAAAATGACAAAAATTAGAGAAAACTTACCACCATTTAAAGGAGAATCTTAAGTGATCTTATTCCAGGAACAGAACAATACCATGCAGGGCTTTTTTTTCATTTACAGACCATTCTTAAGGCCTGCTTAATAGTTCTGATACTCTGGAAGAAAGCCACAACTTTGCAGAAGCTGGAGTGAAAGTGCCGGGAAATGAAGGACCATTTCAATTTTATGACCATCAGTATAGTACAAAGACATCTTAAGGACACTAAAAGCAAGTATTTGCATATAACTGGTTGTTCAGTGAAAATCATGTCCATCACTGGAAACAGTATGGATAAAGTAATGAATTATCACCATATTCCTGCACATACAGAAGATAAGTAGATGGGCATCATTTCAAGGTCTTGTTCATGTCCAGTTCTATTTGGTCTGCTGCTGGGGTTACCCCAATCTTCAGCTTAATCCTCAACTCCTTCAGAAATACCAAACCCTCAATAAAAAAATACAAGTGAGGGCGGGTTATTCATACAGAATATATATATTCTTAAATTATTAACACAAGGTAGGCAATTATTCTTCCTTCCTAAGGCAATGATGCACACAGAATCCACTTCCTGTGCCCAATGAAGAACTTTCTAAATGAAAATGGTGACAAAATTTCATTTAAACTGCAGTTGCCAGAAAAGACATAACAAAACACAAAAACTGATTTGGAAACCAAAGAGCATCACCTCACCTGGTTTGCACCAAAGACCAAAGAGCTACTGAATAGGGATATTCTTCAAAACAGGCAGGAAGGCTACCAGGCTGCCAGCATTGGTTATATACAGCTCCATTACACCCATCCATCTATTAACATGTTCTTCTACAGTTTATTCAGACAGTGTTTTGGTGAAAAACACATGAACATTAACCTTTTCTACAAAGGCTGCAAACCAGCTCAAAGCACACTGAAATTATTTTGTCCTGTCAGATCAAGTCCATAAAAGTGCTGCCTCAAATTTCACTTGGATTAAAAGTTACATGAGAGGAAGAAGAAACAGAAGAAGTGTGAAAAAAATCCAGTTTTGAAAAAGAAAAACAACACAGAGAAATTATGACATGTATTTGAAATTATAGTTATGTGCCCAGGTGGCCAAGAAGGCCAACAGCATCCTGGCTTGTATCAGAAATAGTGTGGCCAGCAGGAGCAGGGCAGTGATCTTCCCCCTGTACTGGGCACTGGTGAGGCCGCACCTCGAGTCCTGTGTTCAGTTTTGGGCCCCTCACTACAGGAAAGACACTGAGTTGCTGGAGCGTGTCCAGAGAAGGGCAACTAAACTGGTGAGGGGCCTGGAGCACAAGTCTTATGAGGAGAGGCTGAGGGAGCTGGGGTTGTTTAGTCTGGAGAAAAGGAGGCTGAGGGGAGACCTTATCGCTCTCTACAACTGCCTGAAAGGAGGTTGTAGTGAGGTGGGGGTCGGTCTCTTCTCTCAAGTAACAAGTGACAGGACAAGAGGAAACGGCCTCAAGTTGCACCAGGGGAGGTTTAGATTGGACATTAGGAAAAATTTCTTCACTGAAAGGGTTGTCAAGCGCTAGAACAGGCTGCCCAGGGAAGTGGTGGAGTCACCATCCCTGGAGGTAGATGTAGTGCTTAGGGACATGGTTTAGTGACTGACTTGGCAGTGTTAGGTAAACGGTTGGACTTGATGATCTCAAGGGTCTCTTTCAACCTAAATGATTCTATGATTCTCTATACATGGTTAAAGGAATACAGAAGGATCAGACTATTCTCTCTCACTTTTTGCAACTGATGTGATTACCAATCACCAAGTCTTCACCAATACAGTGTGGTATGAACAGAAGACTGAGAGCTTTGATTCTGCTTCCAGACAGAGCCTTGTAAGCCTGATGAAAAGTCCAGGCTGCTTTATTGCCACCAACCTTAAAGGGGCACTGACACAGGAGACAGATGATACTAACCTGGCTGCATAGAGGACTTATCCCACTTTGCTCTATAAAGCAGTCCAATGGAAGCTTTCCTGTTTTGCATCAAAGTCAGCTGAAGCATTTTTTTAGCTGGCTGCCATCCAGACAGTATTCAGACTATCGGATAACAATAACACTGGGTCTAGCACAGAATCCACTGAATTAATAATGTCAAAAGGCAAACCAGGCCCTCCATAGACTCACAGGTAGTTTAACTGTGTATGTTCCAATTTTCACACAGGCAGTACCTAGACAATACACTATATTAGAAACATGAGAATTCAGCTAGTAACCTTTTCTAAGATGGAGACACTGGTTAAGCTGGCCGAATGCCTAAACCAACTTGGTATCTTAAAACTACGCCATTTTCAAGGTATTAGCATAATATACATTAACAGGTTTTGTGCCATGTTTTATGCCCCACTCATGATTAATTCTCAGCACAGACATTCAGTGTTACTGTTCCATTTACTTCAACAGTCTCAGTATGACTTTTTGACTTTCACAATTTTTTAATTATATTATTTAAAGAAGTGGGTGGAGGAGAGTAGAGTAACATCCTGTATAGGCCTTACTAGCGCTATACCCATTGAATACTGCATTTATTTTAAGAATCATGTTTCACAGATGTTACATTGTTCAAAACCAAATGAATCCATATATTTTAGGCAACTATTATGCACACAGACTCTCACCAGCAGGAAATACATTTTTTTCAATTTAACAGCACATATACT